CAACGGATACGACATGGGCCATCTGGTATCTCTCCGAAATGAAGCCGAAAATAAATTCGTCTCAAAACTCTGGGATTCATCTACTGGTGGATTGGCAGCCATATCTGACTGTACCTTCTGGATTGGACTGACAGATGCAGGTGACGAAGGTCAATGGGTTTGGACGGACAACAACCAGTTGGCAACATACACAAGTTGGCATACAAATCAACCTGACAACACTCATAATGAAGACTGCGCTCACCAATGGAATCGAGATCCAAATCTTGGTACTTGGAATGATTATCAATGTACTGTTGAGCTATTTTATGTCTGTGAGCTGCCTCAGAATAAATAGTACGTCTACATAACAAGAGAAAACGCCAGGTTACATATTGGTAACTATATATGATAAACCTAAAGCACGCTGAATATTACCGAAAATGTTTGCCGACTAAGATATGACTGAAAGCATCAAAACATATGTAAATGATTATATGCTTACATAAATGTTTATTGCAACATATAAATTATATGTAGGTATACATACACATTACTTGTTACAATATAAGCCAACATACATTATATTGATAATTATATTAAACTTTCAATTCATTGTGCCATGTGGTCTCTGAATGTTATATTGCATTTAGTATACTATTAACTATAGATAAGTGTATAAAAATTGGTGAAGCCCGCTAGCCGTTTATTTTTTATTACTGTATTATTTTTAGGCGTATTTATTGAAGGGGCTCTAATGGCCTTGATCATCAGTGCCTTGCACTTGTTACACTGTCAGTCCCTACGCCACCGAGCTATAATCTAAGTTTGCAACATTGTTTTTAAACAGATACAGTGACATGTTTTAATAGTGTTTGCATTTTGCTATTTGTAAAAGTTAATGTTAAATGCTCTAGGCATGTCATTATCTTGCCGACTGGTTTAGATAAAAGGAATTGACGCTCAAAGACTGAACAAGTATTACACATAAAATAAACGATGAATACTCATAGATGTATAAACCTAAATAATATATATACAGTATAT